ATGGGGTTTGTGGTAGGGACTTGGTGAAGGGGGGAGTCTAGTAAACATAATATTCCTTATGTAATTGTAGAGTAAGCATACAAAAATAAACAAACAAACAAATAAATACACCCTTGAAGACTCCACCAAAAAACTATTAGAATAACTAGATTCAGCAAAGTTGCAGTATGCAAAAAAAAAAAAAATACACAGAAATCTGTTGTTACCCTATATAATAACAACAAACTAGCAGAAAGAGAAGTCAGGAAAACAACTCCATTTACAATTACATCAAAAATAGTAACATACCTAGGAATAAAACTAACCAAGGAGGTGAAAAACCTGTACTCTGAAAACTGTAAGACACTGAGAAATTAAAGAAGACACCAATAATTGGAAAATTGACACCAATAATTGGAAAAAAGTTGTGGATAGGAAAAATTAATATTGTCAAAATGGCCATCCTGCCCACAGCAATTTACAGTTTCAATGCAATCCCTATCAAAATTCCAAAAGCATTTTTCAATGAACTTGAACAAATAGTTCTAAAATTCATGTGAAACTATAAAAGACCTCAAATAGCCAAAGCCATCCTGAGAAAGAACAAAGCTGGGGGTATTGCACACCCTGACTTCAAGCTCTACTACAAAGCTACACTAATCAAAACAGTATGGCACTGATACAAGAAAAGACCCATAGATCAATGGAACAGAATAGAAAGCACAGATATAAAATCATACATATATGGTCAATTAATATATAGTAAAGGAGCCATGTATATTAATGGGGAAAGGATAGCCTCTTCAATAACTGGTGTTGGGAAAACTGGACAGCTATATGTAAGAGAATTAAGCTGGATTACTGTCTAACTCCATACACAAAAATAAACTCAAAATGGATCAAAGACCTGAATGCAAGACATGAAACCATAAAACTCTTAGAAGAAAACCTAGGCAAAAATCTCTTGAACATAAGTATGAGCGATTTTCCTTGACACATCTCCTTGGGCAAGGGAAACAAAATCAAACCTGAACAAGTTGGACTATATCAAACTAAAAAACTTCTGTACAGCATAGGACACCATCAGCAGAACAAAAAGGCAACCTACAGTATGGGAGGATATATTTGTAAGGGGTCAATGTCCAAAATATTTAAAGAACTGATGTGCCTGAACACCAAAGAAACCAATAACCCAATTCAAAATGGGCAGAGCACCTGAACAGACATTTCTCTAAGGAAGAAATACAGATGGCAAACAGGTACATGAAAGATGCTCCACATCATTAATCATCAGAGAAATGCAAATCAAAATCACAATTAGATATCACTTCACACCAGTTAGAATGGACACTATCCAAGACAAGAAATAATAAATGCTGACAAGGATGCAGAAAAAGGGGAACCCTCCTACACTGTTGGTGGGATTGTAATATAGTGTAACCACTGTGGAAGAAAGTATGGAAATTCCTCAAAAAAATAAAATAGAAATACCATTCAATTCCACTTCTAGAAATTTACCTGAAGAAAACAAAATCTCTGATTTGAAAAGATACATGTACCCCTATATTTACCATACATTATTTGCAATAGCCAAGCTATGAAAGCAACCTGAGTGTTCACCAATAGATGATTGGATAAAGAAGATGTGGTACATGTATATAATGTTTATTCAGCTATAAACAGCCATAAAAAGAAAAGAAATCTGTCCATTTGCAGCAACATGGATGGACCCTACAGGGTATTATACTAAGAGAAATAAGCCAGGCAGAGAAAGACAAATTCCATATTATTTCACTTATTTGTGGATGATAGAAACAAAACAAAAGTAGACTCACAGATACTGAGAAGTGACTGGTAGTTACCATAGGAGAGGGGTTGGTGTGGGTGGGTGGGAAAGGTGAGGGGAATAAAGGGGCACAAGAATTCTCGATCATAATGTAAGTTGGTCATGGATAGTAGTACAGCATGGAGATTACAGCCAGTAATTCTGTAACATCTTCTTATGTTGACAGATAGTAACTGCACTAGTGGGGATAAGGATTTGATAATATGCATAACTGTTGAACCACTGTGTTCTATGCTTGAAACCAATATAAGATATGATACTTACATTAAAAAAAAGAAAGAAAAAGAAGAAATGCTGGCAAGGATATGGAAAAAGGGAACCCTTGTTCAAATGTAAACTGGTGCAGCCATTATAGAAAACAGTACAAAGGTTTCTCAAATAATTAAAAATAGAACTACAATATAATCTAGTAATTCCACTTCTGAGTATATATCCAAAGGAAACAAAGGATCTCAAAGAGATATCTGTACTCCTATTTTCACTGCAGCATTATTCACAATAGCTAAGGTATGTAAACAACCTAAATGCTAAATGTCAATCAAAGGATGAATGGATAAAGAAAATGTGGTGTGTATGTATACACACACACACACACACACACACACATATACAATGGAATATAAGTCAGTCTTAAAAAGTAGTAAATTCTGCCTTTTTCAACATCATGGATGAAACTGAAGGGCATTATGCAAAGTGAATTAAGCAAGACAGAAAGATAAATACTGCATGGTATCACTTATAAGTGGAATAAAAAAAAGTCAAACTCAGAAACAGAGTAGAATGGTAGTTTCTAGGGACTAGGGAGTGTGAGAGAAATAGAGGCTAGTAAAATGGTACAATCTTTCAGCTACAAGATAAATAAGGCCTGAGGATCTAATGTATAACATGGTGACTACAGTTGACAATAGTGTACTGTATAATTCAATTTGACAAGACAGAATTTAAGTGTTCTCACACACACACATACACACAGAAACACAAAGGTAAATATGTGAAGTAATGGATATGTTAGCTAACTCAATAGCAGGAACATTTTATAATGTATATGTATATCAAGTTACTATGTTGCACACTTTAAAATACATTACACCATTTTACTTGTCAATTTTAGCTTGAAAAAGCAGGGGCAGGGGGTAAAGAGAAGGAATTAACAGAAATTATTCCAGGCCCCAGTCATATTTTATATCCTGAAAAGAACTTATGAAGTCCCTACAGGAAAACAAGGTTATATGAGAGTTATAATTTAACAATTAAATCTGATGGAAGAGATGCAAATAAATATGTGCAAGTATATCAGAACTAAGTTAGTAGTTTATCTTTTCCACAGTAGTATTTTTCTTATTCATTTTGACTAGGCCATTTGGTTTTTATTTCTTTAAAGAACTTTAAAGGAGTTCCAAACTTCACTTTTAACTGTTGATTATGTTTCATTAGCTGCTGTGTGTTTCTGGTTACCTAACCCTGAATACCTTTGGTTTTGATAAACTGGTTGTGCTAAGTGGTGGATTTGATTGCAATTAGCATCATATTGGCTTGGCAGAAACTTAAATCATCCTTCCTCTGTCTGAAAGCTCAAAAATATTAACAGATATGAAGAATAAATTGTCTCCTCTCCACCCTAAGAATCTACTGCCAGTTTGGGAGTTATTTGTACTTAAATGATATTCTTCTTAGTCTCACATTTGTCAGCTACATTTATTAAACACTATATGCTGAACACATTACTAGATTTAGAAAGTTTCATGAACCTATAAAGAAGAAAATGAGTTCCTCCTACAATTGAGACTGTTTTAATCTACTAGGAGATATAAGACAGACAATATATCTGAGAACACAAATACATAGCTATTAAAGCAATTATATTTTATGAAGATAGACAAAAATTGATTGTAGTAACTGATCCTGTTAAAAGTTAAATTAGGGCATATTACTTCTCTGCTCAAATTCCCCCCTTTCTCTCAAAGTGTATGGCTACAAGGCCCTTTATGATCTTGCCTCCTCCCTACCTTTGTGTTTCTGACATCATGCCCCCTGACTCTTGCCTCTAATTCATCTCCTCCAGCTCTATTGGACCCTTTTCTGTTCCTCAAAAACATCAACCATGTTCCTGCTGTAAGGCCTTCCCTCATCTAGTCTGTTATTTCCTCAATATTTTCTTGGCTCTTTCACTTCCTTCAATTGCTTACATCTCACCTTCTCAAGAAAACCTGATGTAATTACTATTTATTTCTATCCCTGAACCCCAAGTCCCATCATTCCCAATTTAATCTCCTTTACTCTGCTCCTCTTTGTTTTTCCATATCATTCATTACCTTCTAAAATACTGTGTGCTTTATTTATATACTGCTATAATTGTTCAGATCTATGTTAACTCCTCAAGGGCAAGGATTCATTGTCTGACTTCTTAACTGACATATCCCAAATACCTAGAACAGTGCCTGGAACACAGTAAGAGCTCAATTAATATACGTTTGCATTTATTAAATCAAGCAGATAATTTACAAATCTTCATTTTACTTTCAGTTGTGCAGAGTCAGAATATATGTGCCAAAACAAAAACATAATTTTGAGTTTGTCAATCCATCAGCTTTTCAAAGAACCTCATTTTTCCTTCAAAATACGTCTCTTCCCATAAAATATTTATTTGTAACAAACCCACAAGTGAGCCATCATGCTGGTTTTTCTCTCATTAGGTACTCCACATCACTTTACATGCACAAAAATAAGTCTTTGATTTAGAATGGATGTAGAATCAGTTTCTAGCTCATGAGAAAACTTAACTACTAACATCATTTATCATCACTATCAACACGTGATACCAAATTTTTCCTTTTGCTCAACAAACTCTCAGCAGTGTCACTGCACTTCTGTATTATAATACAGGAAAATGTCTGCAGAAGAGAAAATGCCAAGAGTACTTTAGTAGGATCAATCTGACCCAATTTCTATTATCCTGAGGACTCAAATATAGCAAAATATTGGGAAAAAATCAGAAAGTTATGTCCAAGTAATCACAAGTTATCATGAATAGCATTCAGTCTTCTACTTTAAATACACTGGGAAACAATTTAGCAGTTTCAGTTCAGTGAGCTTTTCCTTCTTTCACTTTGTCAACCAAAACAGAGACAAAATAAAACAAAACATTTAAAATTTATTAAAATAATTTAAAGGATACGGATTTCTGTGACAGCTTTTAAAGAATCTAAATCATTTTCTGTTACCCCTAAAAAAAAAAAACTTACATATTATATGTATGCTTTTTAACCTTATCCATAAAAACCACTTCAAAAAAATATGCGTAACTTTTTATTGAAAGCAGTTCAAATTAATGTAAATGCAGAAGTCGTACATAATCTACTCAAATTTACTACTTTTTTATTCTTCCTTATGCTAAGAAACACATACTAGTTTTTACTTTTATAAAACCGACTAAAAAACAAGGAATTACCTTGAACTTCCTGAGGCTGGGATGAAACTGAAAAAGATGGTACTTTGAAATCACCTTCTCTGATATCAGAAGCAGAAAAGGCATCACTTGATGTAAACATATTAATATCTGAATATTGAGGTTTCTGCTTACTATTCCTACATTTCCATGATTTCTCTGTGTTCATTTCTGTTTGGACAATTTTCACTGAGCCAATATGTCTGTCATTAGGATAATCACCCTGATATATATTGTCAGATATTTTAAACAGTCTGTAAAAAAAAAAAAAAAANCCAACATGTTTTACTCTTGTAACAGTTACTTAGGATGTGAAAAGCTAGCATAAAACTGGTAAAAACACCCACAGATTGTAGTTTATTCAAATACAAAAGCCAATCATTCTCCTAAAATACAACTTGCTAAGTTTAGTAATGAATTATGTCTTTTCAATTCCCTAAAACTCAGATAAATTCATTTGTAGTAGCTAGCCACCAAGGCAGACCAAATGATCTTTGTCTCACGGTATTCACAACTTTATAGTCTCCCAGTTCAAATCAAGACTGGCCTATGTATCTAACAGAGTACTGTAGCAGTACAAGTGTGTGACTTCCAAGCCTAGGTCATCAGACACTGTTACTCCTGAATGGTCTCTTGGCTCGTTCACACCGAGGGGAGCTAGCCAGGCCCACATAGACAGGTACTGAGGCCTCTTGTCAGTGACCAGCACCAAAATCACAAACACCATGAAAATGCTTCCTTGCAAAGTTCTGGAAACACAGAAAAATCATCTTTATGATTGTAATTTGTTATATTCAACTGATCACAAGATAATCCATCAACACAATTTGTTCTCAATAACCTTAAGGGATAAAGTGACTATTAAGGTTCCTAATATAACACTCACATCTTACATAAGTAATAGGGATGACAGCAGGTATCAGTCTTACAGAATTCTGTAAGTAATGACACACAAACAAGTACTGTGCAAATACAGAATACTTTCTAAGTTATTTTTACTATTAATTTTAATGGTATATTTTCCTGTAAGAAAAAACTAGTCTTTCAAAAAACTAGAAAGATAAATGTATTTAAGAACAAATTGTAGAGCTGCAACCTCCAATGCCAGCAGTTCTATTTTTGAAGATAGAAAATTCAAAAGCAAATGGTTACTTTTAGATAACAGTAGAATTCCATTATAAAATGATACTGAGGAAAAAGAAATGGTATTAAAGACTTCCAAGGAGGGGAGAGGGACCAGAGATTGAGTTCAATCATCAGTGGCCAATGATTTAATCAATCACGCCTATGTCATGAAACCTGTATGAATGAAAAACTCCTAAGTGATAGGTGTTCAGTGAACCCTTCTAGCTTGGTGAACACATCAAGGTGCTCAAAGATTGACACAGTTGTAGAAGCCATGGAAGCTCTTCATAACCTCTCCATGTATCTCTTCATACCCTTTCCCTATGTATCTCTTCCATTTGTCCGTTTCTGAATTTTATCCCTTACAATGAACTGGTAAACACAAGTGTTTTCCTGAGTTCTGTTAAGTCATTCTAACAAATTATTGAGCCTAGTGTGGTACATGGGAACTCTCAAATTTGTAGTCTTCAAGGCAGAAATGTGGGTAGCCTGCCATCCTATTTGTGACTGTCATCTGAAGTGGGACTGTCTGACCCCTTAAGATGCAGGGTTTGATTCTAATTTCAGGAGTTATTGGGAAAACTGAATTGAATTGTTGGACATCCATTGGTGCCAGAGAATCAGAGAATCGGCCGATGTCAGAAAACACTCCAAACCTTATATTTACCATGAACTGATTTTCAATGAGGATGCCATGACATTTAATGGGGAAAGAAATTTTTTTCAGGAAATGGTACTGGAACACCTGGATATATCTACACGCAAAAGAATAAAGTTGGACTCCTACCTTGCACCATAAAAAAAAAATGGATTCAAAATAGGTCACAGACCTAAATGTAAGAGTTAAAACCATAAAACTCTCAAAAGAAAACAGGAGCAAATCTTCACAACCTTGGATTGGGCAATAGTCTTCTCTTACATATGACACAAAAAGCCCAAGCAACACAAGAAAAATTAGATAAACTGGGCTTCATCAAAATTTAAAAGTTTTGTGCTGCTACTACCACCAAAAAAGTAAAAAACAACATATAGAATGGGAGAAAATTTTTCAAGTCATACAGCACATAAGGAACTTTTATCCAGAATACCTAAAGAACTCTTACAACACAACAATAAAGACAAAAAGAAATTTTAAACAGGCAATGGATTTAGATAGGCATTACTCCAAAGAAGATAAACAAATAGCCAATAATCACATGAAAATATGACCCAAAAAGTCAAATACAGTGTTATCATATTCCCTAGCAATTCCTCCTCTAGGTATAAATCCAAAAGACTTAAAAATATATTCACACAAAAACCTGTATATGAATGTCCATAGCAATATTCATAATAGCCAAAAATGTAAACAACCCAAATGCCCATCAACTGATAAATGGGTAAACAAAATGTGGTCTATTCATTTAATGGATTATTATTTGGCCATAAGAAGGAATGACGTACTGATACATGATATAACATGGATGAACCTAGTTAATGCTATGCTAAGTAAAAGAAGCCAGACACAAAACAGCAGATACTGTGTGATTTCCACTTGAACAAAATGTCTTATAGATAAATTAATCTATAGAAAGAGGAAGTAGATTTGTAGTTGTCAAGTGTTACAAGGAGGGAGGAATGGGGAGTGACTGTTAATAAGTATAGAGTTTCTTCTGGGCAATGCTGCACAATTCTGTGAATATTCTAAAAAGCAATGAATTTTCCATTTCAAAAGGGTAAATTTTATGGTATGTGAGTTGTATCTTAATGAAACTGTTATAAAAAGTTCACAGACATCAGCCTCAACTATGTCCTTTACAGTGTCTAACAGTCCTACCATTATTCTAACTAGATTGCTTTCCTATACTCCATAACCTCCATTTTTTTCATACTTGCTCAATACCACCATTTTTTCCCTCAAACTCCAGAGGACCTCATCTCTTATATCAGAGAGGAAACAGAAACTATCAACTAGCTCTCTTCTGAATCCTCAACCCATAAATCCAATTGTCTATTTGGACAATTTACAAATACCTAAATTTAACATGTCCACATCTGTAATCATTACCTTCCCCCAAACTTGTTCTTCCTTTATAGAGTTTTCCATTTCCTTTCCATAAAAGGGTTCTACCACCCTTCATCATTCTGCCTTAAGCTAGAAATGTATTACTCAAGTCTTGTATCTAATAATTATTTAAGTCCTGTGGGATTCTATCTCCTAAATAACTGACCTCTCTCATTCCTGTTACCATAGTCCTAGGTTCAGACTACAATTCTCACTCACCTAGACTAATAAAATAATCTTCTAAGCGAAACTGCACAATGTATTCTAGCTCCCTTCTAATTCATCATACTGGGGCCAAAATGGACTTTTGGTAAAAAAAAAGAAAGAAATTTTATTCCTCTGCTTAAAATACAGGACCTTAACAACAATGATTCTCAAATTTTAAAACACCTAATAATTATCTAAAAAATCTGTTAAAAAGTAAGATACCTGATAAGGAAGAAGTTGAAATGTCACTGTTTGCAGATGACATGATATTGTACATAAAAAACCCTAAAGAATTTGCCCAAAAATTACCAGAACTAATAACTGAATTCAGCAAAGTTGCAGAACACAAAATCAATACATAGAAATCTGTTGCATTCTTATATAATAAAGAAGAACTAGCAGAAAGAGAAATCAGGAAAACAATTTCATTTACAATTGTACCAAAAAGAATAAAATACCTAGGAATTAACCTAACCAAGGAAGTAATAGACCTATGCCCTGAAAACTACAAGACACTCATGAGAAAAATTAAAGAAGACACCAATAAATGGAAATAAATCCCTTGCTCATGGATAGGAAGAATTAATATTGTCAAAATGGCCATCTTGCCTAAAGGAATTTACAGATTCAGTGCAATCCCTACCAAAATACCAACAGCATTCTTCAACGAACTAGAACAAATAGTTCTAAAATTCATATGAAACCACAAAAGACCCTGAATAACCAAAGCAATACAGAAAAGGAAGAACAAAGCTGGGGGATTATGCTCCCTAACTTCAAGCTCTATTACAAAGCCACAGTAATCGAGACACTTTGGTACTGGTACAAGAACAGACCCATAGATCAATGGAACAGACTAGAGACCCCAGATATAAACCCACACATACATGGCCAATTAATATATGATAAAGGAGCCATAGATACACAATGGGGAAAAGAGAGCCTTTTCAACAACTTGTGTTGGCAAAACTGGACAGCTACATGTAAGAGAATGAAACTGGATTATTGTCTAACTCCATACACAAAAGTAAACTAAAAATGGATCAAAGACCTGAATGTAAGTCATGAAACCATAAAACTCTTAGAAGAAAACATAGGCCCAAATCTCTTGAATATAAACATGAGCAATTTTTCCCTGAGCACATCTCCTTGGGCAAGGGAACAAAAGCAAAAATGAACAAACTGTACTATATCAAACTAAAAAGCTTCTGGACAGCAAAGGACACCAATAGTAGAACAAAAAGGTATCCTACAATATGGGAGAATATATTCATAAAATACTTATCTGACAAAAGGTTAACATCCAAAATATATAAAGAGCTCACGTGCCTCAACACCCAAAAAACAAATGACCCAATTANGGAGTTAGAGGGTATTATGCTCAGTGAAATAAGCCAGGCAGAAAAAGACAAGTATCAAATGATTTCACTCATATGTGGAGTATAAGAACAAAGAAAAAAACTGAAGGAACAAAACAGCAGCAAGACTCACAGAACCCAAGAATGGACTAACAGTTACCAAAGGGAAAGGGACTGGGGGGGGAGGGTGGGAAGGGAGGGATAAGGGGGAAAAAGGGGAATTACAATTAGCAGACATAATGAGGGGGAGCACGGGGAGGGCTGTACAACACAGAGAAGACAAGTAGTGATTCTATAGCATCTTACTACGCTGATGGACAGTGACTGTAGTGGGGTATGTGGGGGAGACTTGATGGGGGGGAGTCTAGTAACCATAATGTTGCTCATGTAATTGTAGATTAACAATACCAAAAAAAAAAAATGATCCACATCACTAATCATCAGAGAAATGCATATTAAAACCACAATGAGATATCACCTCACACCAGTCAGGATGGGCAACATCCAAAGACAAGAAACAACAAAGGCTGGCAAGGATATAGAGAAAGCGGAACCCCCCTACACTGCTGGTGGGAATGTAAATTAGTTCAACCACTGTGAAAAGTAGTATGGAAGTTCCTCAATAAAATAAAAATAGAAATACCATTTGACCCAGGAATTCCACTCCTAGGAATTGACCCTAAGAAAACAAGATCCCTGATTGCAAAAGACTCTATAGCATTTTACTATGCTGATAGATAGTGATTGCAATGGCATTTGGGGGTACTTGATAACATGGGTGAATGTTGAAACCACAATTGCTCATGTGAAACCTTTGTAAGATTGTGTATCGATGATACCTTAATTTTTTTAAAAAGATACTTAGACCCATCCCTACTTTATCTAGACTGTGGTTTAATAGGTCTAAAGTAGGACTTAGAATCCTACTTAGGAATCCAGATTTTCAACAAGCACTCCAGGTGATGCAGCAGGTCTATGGGCCACTGTTTAAGACACACTGCCTTAGGAAAATACAAAATGTACTTGCTTACCTCTCAGCGTCCTCTCTCATTTTAAACAAAAGGAAATTTTCTAAGAACAGGCCAAGCTCTGTGCTACCTTAGGATTTTTGCACATATTATTCCTTTTGCCTGGAACACTCTCCTTTACTTTCATTAGCTTAATTCTACTTCTCCAAGGTTAAGCTTAAACACCACTTCTTCAGGAAAGCCTTCCTTGACTGTCCAGAGCAAATTAGGTCCCCATATTATATTCTCTAACAGCAATTCTCAAAGGATGGAGGACACTCTTTCAAGGAGTTCATAGCTCTGAACAATTTTAAAAATATTACTAAGACATTGTTTGCTCTTTCTCTCTTTCTCTTACTTGTATACATGGAGCTTCCCAGAGGCTCCAAGTCATATGCTATAATGTAACAGACTGAATGCAAAAGCAAATATGAGAATCCAACTATATTTCATTAAACCAGAAATTAAAAACATTTACAATACAAACCACTCTTCTCACTAAATTACTTTTAGTTTTAGAAAAGAGTTACTTTTTAATAAAAATACATTAACAAGTACTGGGTTTATTATTTTTAAATGAATTAGCAAATTTTTTTTTCAGTTTTAATTCCTACTATGGTTAAATATTGATTGATATAACCCACATAACAAAAGCTCTTTGGGAATCTCCAATAATCTTTAAGTGTCCAGACAACAAAACGTTTGAGAAACTCTGTTAACTATATGTTCATTGAAATAATTGTCATATTTAAAATATTTAATAAATTATTTTTAGTATTTACTATCTGTATTTTACCCATTAAATTGTGGGCTCTCTGAAGGTAAGAACCTAACTAGAATCCCTGAGTTAAAAGGATATCTGGTACATAGCCTATTTCTTTGTTGATGTTTTTCTCATTCAGATTCTTTTAAACACACATAAATATTTATCTTTATAGCTGAATATTATTTATTTAATTTAATTAATTACCTTTTTCGGAAGGCTGATGTACTCTCTCCTTTACCTTCTGCAAAATTAACTAATTTTGTATCATCCAAAACACTTTTCTTAGGTGCTATCTCAGTGCCAAAATGACTTTTGTCTTTCTGAGACCCATATATCAGTTTGCCAGTAACACAGGGTACATCATTGTTACCTGCCCCTCTTAAATTTAGATCATCATCTTCATATTTACTAGATGGAAGGACATATTGGAATTTTTGTGTTGGTGAAATATAAGTTGTGTTTTCATCAATTATCTTTAAGTTTGATGTTAACATTTTTGGCCTTGTTTCTTGACCTACAAAAATGGAATATATTAATTACTACATGTACTCCATGAAAACAAATTTCAAAATGACTGAAAAAATTTAATAAAAATTTTCAAAGAATTTATTAAGCAAATATGAAAGTCAAAAGAAAAGTGCTAGTACAATAACAACATAATCTATAATACCATATGTGATTTTAAAATATTGGTGATTGTTATTCTTACAGTATATCACTGAAGGGCACTCAGAAATTAAGAATTATTGTAATTAAATTTGAAATGTATAAAAAAACTACATTATAAAATAATGACACACAAAATAATATAATAATTCCTGACACACAAACATAATCATAGTCTTAATATTTAGGTATTTTATCTAAAATTGACATAATTACACAAGTAATTATGAAGATTTTTAAATTTACACACAGAAATACAATGATGAATCACATAAAATGTTAGTGAATATGATTTGGCATTAAAATATATGATAAGATGCTTTTAACTCTCTAATATTGCTACCAAAATCAAGACAAAAGAATGTTTTCATTAGGATGACAGAATTTTAATGGTTTCTTTACAGAGACTATATAAGTAATTTTAAGATGTTTAAGAGTGAGGAAGCCCATTAGGACTTAAATTTGCTTTGTCACCTATGTATACATACTGAAGAATATATAAATATGTGTCTGTCTGTGAAGTGTATACACCACATATTCTACATATTATTTGGTATATACAGAGTATGTACATATATATGTACAATTTCATTGTAAAATATATATGTAAATTATGAAGCTTAATAAAATATACATGTATGAATCTACCACCCAATTTAAAATTCTAAATTTTACAAACAATATCACATTATATCACATATATTGTTTCAGTGCACTTTTTTTTGATATCATTAATATAAAATCACATGAGCCACATTGTGGTTACCAGATCCCCCCATTTTCAAGTCCCCACCACATACCTGATTACAGTCACTGTCCATCAGCATAGTACCAGGCTATAGAGTCACTACTTGTCTTCTCTGTGCTATACTGCCTTCCCCATGCCCCCCCAGTGTGATGTGTGCTAATCATAATGCCCCTTATTCCCCTTCTCCCTCCCTTCCCATCCACCCTCCCTAGTCCCTTTCCCTTTGGTAACTGTTAGTCCATTCTTAGGTTCTGTGAGTCTGCTGCTGTTTTGTTCCTTCAGTTTTTTCTTTGTTCTTATGCTCCACATATGAGTGAAATCATTTGATACTTGTCTTTTTCTGCCTGGCTTATTTCACTGAGCATAATACCCTCTAACTCCATCCATGTTGTTGCAAATGGTAGGATTTGATTTCTTCTTATGGCTGAATAATACTCCATTGTGTATATGTACCACATCTTCCTTATCCATTCATCTACTGATGGAGACTTAGGTTGCTTCCATTTCTTGGCTATTGTGAATAGTGCTGCGATAAACATAGGGATGCATATGTCTTTTCTAAACTGGGCTGCTGCATTCTTAGGGTAAATTCCTAGGAGTGGAATCCTGGGTCAAATGGCATTTCTGTTTTTAGTTTTTTGAGGAACCTTCATACTGCTTTCCACAATGGTTGAACTAGTTTACATTTCCACCAGCAGTGTAGGAGGGTTCCCCTTTCTCCACATCCTTGCCAACATTTGTTGTTGTTTGTCTTTTGGATGGTGGCCATCCTTACTGGTGTGAGGTCATATCTCATCGTGGTTTTAATTTGCATTTCTCTGATGATTAGCGATGTGGAGCATCTTTTCATGTGCCTGTTGGCCATCTGAATTTCTTCTTTGGAGAAGTGTCTGTTCAGATCCTCTGCCCATTTTTAATTGGGTCATTTGTTTTTTGGGTGTTGAGGCACGTGAGCTCTTTATATATTTTGGATGTTAACCTTTTGTCAGATAAGTATTTTATGAATATATTCTCCCATATTGTAGGATACCTTTTTGTTCTACTATTGGTGTCCTTTGCTGTCCAGAAGCTTTTTAGTTTGATATAGTACAGTTTGTTCATTTTTGCTTTTGTTCCCTTGCCCAAGGAGATGTGCTCAGGGAAAAATTGCTCATGTTTATATTCAAGAGATTTGGGCCTATGTTTTCTTCTAAGAGTTTTATGGTTTCATGACTTACATTCAGGTCTTTGATCCATTTTTAGTTTACTTTTGTGTATGGAGTTAGACAATAATCCAGTTTCATTCTCTTACATGTAGCTGTCCAGTTTTGCCAACACAAGTTGTTGAAAAGGCTCTCTTTTCCCCATTGTGTATCTATGGCTCCTTTATCATATATTAATTGGCCATGTATGTGTGGGTTTATATCTGGGGTCTCTAGTCTGTTCCATTGATCTATGGGTCTGTTCTTGTACCAGTACCAAAGTGTCTCGATTACTGTGGCTTTGTAATAGAGCTTGAAGTTAGGGAGCATAATCCCCCAGCTTTGTTCTTCCTTTTCTGTATTGCTTTGGTTATTCAGGGTCTTTTGTGGTTTCATATGAATTTTAGAACTATTTGTTCTAGTTCGTTGAAGAATGCTGTTGGTATTTTGGTAGGGATTGCACTGAATCTGTAAATTCCTTTAGGCAGGATGGCCATTTTGACAATATTAATTCTTCCTATGCATGAGCATGGGGTGTGTTTCCATTTATTGGTATCTTCTTTAATTTCTCTCATGAGTATCTTGTAGTTTTCAGAGTATAGGTCTTTCACTTCCTTGGTTAGTCAGTACACTTGTTTTTAAACATAAAATGATATTGAGCTAATTTTCTGCATCTTGTTTTTTTCCCTCAATATATTTCAGAAATCTGGTTTCCCAAACCAGAGGATTCTACCTTTAGTAAAGGGCAAGGCAAAAACTAAACAGCCATGACAGTTTTAATGGTAAGAGGAAACAAATTCACAAAACAAAAGAACAGGTGTGAGAGATAAATATATTTTGTTCATATAATATGCATATGTGTGTATATGCATGTATGGAAAGGGAAAATGTTTTAGATTTTAAGATTTAGTGAGCACTATTTTGAATAAAAGAAGTCTCTAAATTTTATTTTGTTCCATTAAAATAAAGGAATTAATATTCTAATGTCTTACAATATAAGTTGCATGAGTTTAGCTTCACAATAAATAAGTGACAATTTACCTAAAGGTTTATGACTTTGTATTTCCTCCTCTAATGTCTGAGTATCTGGAATTTCTGAAATCAGTGGAGCAGGTGGGAGAAACCAATCCAGTGATTTTTCATTGTCTGGACAGCTATATAAAATATAAAAGTGAGACTATATATGTTAACAAAGATAAAACATCAGAAACTATGTATTTATTAATTAAACATTACTCAATTACAGACTCTTAGAAATACATCCTATGAATTAACTTTCTGTTGTGACTTTGATTTATCCGTACACAGCAGCATTCTCAATCTTTTTTCCCTCATGTGTCATAGTATTTATAACATTATGTGAGATATGCTACCTAAATAATAGTTATATCTCCATCTCCTTTTCTCCATTTCAAATGCCTGTGAATCTTAAATCCCTTCCAAAAAAATAAAAAGCAGTAAATCATTCTGACACTTTAGCATCTTAGCTATAAAAAGTAACAAATTACTTACAACAGAACCTCACCAATAATCATGGGTCATCAATGCATAAATGACACTATTGCTGTTATTCTAGAGTAATCTTAAGGCATTATCACAAATTTATGTCATAACCCAAATATTGTTGGTCAGAACTATCTGAAAACCACAAAAAACTCAAAGAAACCAGGTGAAATTGATAATGACTTTATAAATCTACACTAATTGAAATTTTGACACCCTATTATTAACTTTCTCTAATCTTTTTAGTTGTGATGCTATTAATGTTTCCTTCCTAGTCAAAATTGACTTGTCCTTCACTATAACAAAAAGATAAGTTTAAGTAAGAAGAAATAAAATTGAGAAGAACAGCACATACACTCTTTATGCCAAGTTGCAATTTTGATCCATTTATCTCTTCATTTAGGATTTTAAGCTCTCAAAAGTGAGACACCCTGTCTTTCATTTTTCTTTCTTTCATAGCACCTAACACATACTACTGCAGTTATATTTTACAAATCAAAAATCTACAACACATTATCTGACAATGCCTGAAAGACTGTCTGACAATAGGCAAACATTTGAAGTTTAGGACTATGTCAGAGGGTCCCCAAGATTACGGTCAATGATTCTCTAGGATGACTCACAGGGCTCAACATACAGTCCTACTCATGACTATGAGAGAAAGCCCGGGGGAAACCAGGTACAAACTTGCAAAGGTCCTCTCCCAGTAACACAGGATCTCCTTAATTCCTTCAGCAAGTTGTTACAGCACATGTGAAGGATTGCCAATGAGGGATGCTCATTGGGGACTCAATGTTCATGGTTTTTACTGAAGGCTAATCATGTGAGCATCCCGTTTCTTGAACCCACCTAAATTCCAGATTCCAGAAAGAAAAGCAGATGTTCAAAATAAAGCATATTTTTGTATAAACAGTTTACACACAGTAAGCATTCTAATCAGCTAATAGTAATAAACTTCCTAAAGTTCTCAGACTCTAGCCAAAGGTCAACCTTGCAAACAGACCTTTTTTTTCAAGGACAGCAGTTTAGGCCTGATGTATTAACTCTTTCCTGCACGGAGACTATTCCAGAAAAATCCAAGATGGTAACAAGATACAAAAGGCACACATCTAGCTCTATTATTCAGCCTCCCCATAAAATCAAATCTTCCTCATGATTTCCCTATTTTCCAGAGGTGCCACCAATATTCCAGTCACCCAGACTCCAAGCGATAGTATCATATTTTACCCATTATAACCAGACACACCAGTTCTTACTTCACCTTGCTTATAATACTTTATGAATTAATCCTTTCCTTGTATTTCCACTGTTACTATCCTAATCAAGCCTCTAATCAACCTAATGTCTGGCTGAGAAGAATACAGCCTTAATTGCCCTCAATGCCCCCACTACTTTC